GGTGTTGGTTCTGATCCTGGGCATCAGAGGTTTCTGCCCTGGCTTTCACACATGGCACGACCTCAAAGGTTTGTTTCACAAAAGACGTGCCCATAAAGTTTGCAGCTGAGCCCTTTTTTTTTTTAAAGTCTGATTGCAATTATCCATGAGGCAAAGTATAAAATGTGGCTGAGGTCATTGCGTAAGTTTTGGGGGGTGAGCCAGCCTTAGCCACGTCCTCCCAAACCTCCTGAAGGCAATTGGGAGGGAAAGGAGAGAGGACATTGTAAGCCAAGGAAGAATCATTTCTTTGTTCGTCTATAATAACAATTTGTATTGGTTTTTCTCTCTGAATATGCAAATAATTCGCTGCAACTGCGTGTTGATACCTGCGCTGATCTTGAACAGTACTAGCTCATTCGCATAAAAAGAGCCACATTTACATTTTAATGTGAACACAGCCCCGGTTGCATTTGTCTGGCAGGGCATTTAAAGGTGTGTTTCACCCTGTGTTTTGAGAATGACATGCTTTCTCTCAATCTCATTTGTACGATTGCATCTTGCTCTTCTTTATGAATGGCTGGCTCTTAAAATAAATCTATAAACCAACGACTAAAACTATATGTCTGTCTCCTATATGTTTGTGGTATAAATCTAAATTCAATCTCAAGTCTATATCCCAGAAACTACATGTTGTGTTCTTGAGAAGTAGTTAAATGTATGCATACAGATGATGAGCAATTTTACCAAGATGTGTTATAAGCAGGAGTTCCAGGAAATACCAACAACTTGTAGTTTTTGGAGTGTGTTTTAAAAATATTAGTTTGCGTAGTTATAGCTTTGTTTCTGGGTGATTGTGCAGAGGGTCAGGAAATGCTGGTAAAGAATATAATCCCCTGCATAATATATATTTCAGTCCTGAACGCAGCGATATTTACTGATTATCTTTCATCTGCTTGTTGAGTGCATTTCCACAACTCATATCCATGTTTGCAGGAATCTACCTGCCAACATGGACTTGAAGGGTCAGATTGTAGAGTCTAAGTTTTTCCGGTAGTCACAACACACTTCAATAGGAAAGGGTATTTTAGACCGACAACACCAACAGATCCTAAGCTCTACTTAACCCGATAGCTGCTCCACTCTCTGCTTTGTCTTCTCCACACTTTAAAGTTCATCACACACACACACACACACACACACACACACACACACACACACACACACACACACACACACACACACACACACCAGCTGAGCGCCACAGCACTGACACAGGTGTCCCTTATCCAACTGGATCTCCTAGAGCTTGAGGGAAACAGAATGTGCAGAGGAGCGCAGAAGAAAAGAAACTGAAGATGTTTATCTAGGTTTTAAGAAAACAGCGGCATGAAAAGCTACAGACAAGAGGAACGCCAGAGGAAGAGAGGCATGTGTCAGCGTGTTTGTCAGTAGTCCTTCAACACAAGAAACAACACAGACTGACAAAGGGGGG